TGATTTTCTTTTCTTAGTAATTTTTTTTCTTTCTTTTTTTTTTTTTTTTTGGGAACTGTTTCTTATTTTGGCCAAGTAATTTGGAGACTTTGTAATTGGTAAGAAGATTTGTCATTTTCTCTTAATTAGTAGACAAACTTTTTCAAATCACCTAAAGATTTTTTCTTACTTGTCATTTTCTAACAAGACTTTTTCTTAACAAAGAATTTTCTCAACCTATTTCGTATTAACGTCGAAAATTTTTCAAAAGAATTTTTCTTAATTGTTTAAGCCTCTTTAAACACGATAAAAATCTTTTTAATTATAGTCTTAAACCTTTCTTAGAAGGTCAAGAAAAAAGTTAAGAGGGAGTTAAAAAATGAAGAAATTAATTTGTTGAACGATAAAGTACTCTAAAAAGCCATTACAAACATAATGATATTTAGTTCTACTATTTTTATGCCATTAGACAATTATACATCATCAACTTTGCTTTGTTGTTCAGTAGAAAATTTTAAAGAATTTATTGATATTTGGTTGGAAAATCGAGAAATTGGTAGATTAATTATTATAGGAAGCCATATATTATCCGCAATAGATAGAAATAGAGGTGATTTCTCTTTGCAGATCAAGAGGCAAATCATTGAGCTTCCTATCACTCAATGTTGAAATTTCTTGAAGATCCTGAACATTGTAAGAAAATTTAAAAAAGGCATAAAAATTATAAAGATAAAAATAGTAAGATTTCTTTTCTAAGAGAAAATTTTTCTTTCTAGATTTTCTTATCTTAGTACATTTTTTCAGAATTGCTTTCTATTTTGGCCACATAATTTGAAGACTTTGTAATTAGTAAGAAGACTTGTCATTTTCTTTTAATTAGTAGACAAACTTTTTCAAATCACTTAAAAAAATTTTCTTATCATTTTCTTACAAGTCTTTTTCTTAATAAAGAATTTTCTCAACCTATTAGGTATTTACGTAGAAAATTTTTCAAAAAACTTTTTCTTAATTTTTTAAGCCTTTTTAAACATAATAAAAATCTTTTTAATTATAGTCTTAAACCTTTTTTAGAAGGTCAAGAAATAATTTAAGAGAGATTTAAAAAAACTGAAGAAATTAATTTGCTGAACGGTAAAGTATTCTAAGGTCATTATAAACATATTGATCTTTAGTTCTAATATTTTATGTCATTAGATAATTATACATCATCTCTTTTGCCTTATTGTTCAGCAGAAAGTCTTAAAGAATTTATTGATATTTGTTTAGAAAATTGAGAAATTAGTAGACTAATTGATATAGGAAGTCACATATTATCCGCACTAGATAGAATTAGAGATGACTCCTCTTTGCAGATCAAGAAGCAAATCATTGAGCTTTCTATTACTCAATGTCGGAGATTCTTGATAGAAGATCCTAAAAATTATAAGAAAAGTCAAAAATACATAAAAATTATAAGAGAAAATAAAGATAAAAATAGTAAGATTCCTTTTCTAAGAGAAAAAAAATTCTTTTAAGATTTTCTTATCTTAGTAGAATTTTTTTGAACTGCTTTTTATTTTGGCCAAGTAGTTTGGAGACTTGGTAATTGATAAGAAGACTAGTCATTTTCTCTTAATTAGTAAACAAACTTTTTTAAATCACTTAAAGATTTTTTCTTGTCATTTTCTTACAAGACTTTTTCTTAATAAGGAACTTTCTCAACCTATTTTGTACTTACGTAGAAAAATTTTCGAAAGACTTTTTCTTAATTGTTTAAGCATTTTTAAACATGATAAAAATCTTTTTAATTATAGTCTTAAGCCTTTCTTAGAAGTTCAAGAAAAAGTTAAGAGAGAGTTAAAAAAAAAATTGAGAAATTAATTTGTTAAACGGTAAAGTACTCTAAGGCCATTATAAACGTATTGATCTTTAGTTCTAATATTTTATGTTATTAGATAATTATACATCATCTATTTTGCTTTGTTGTTCAGTAGAAAGTTTTAAAGAATTTTTTGATATTTTTTTAAAAAATCGAGAAATTGGTAGATTAATTGTTATAGGAATCCACATATTATCTGCACTAGATAGAAATAGAGGTGACTTCTCTTTGCAGATCAAGAAACAAATCACTAAGCTTTTTATTACTCAGTTTTGGAGTTTCTTAATAGAAGATCCTGAAAATTGTAAGAAAATTCAAAACGACATAAAAATTATAAGAGAAAATATAAATAAAAATAGTAAGATTCATTTTCTAAGAGAAAAAAATTTTCTTACCTTAGTAAATTTTTTTTGGAACTTCTTTCTATTTTGGTCAAGTAATTTGAAGACTTTGTAATTGATAAGAAGACTTGTCATTTTCTCTTAATTTGTAGACAAACATTTTCAAATTACTTAAAGATTTTTTCTCACTTGTCATTTTCTTATAAGACTTTTTCTTAATAAAGAATTTTCTCAACCTATTTGGTATTTATGTAGAAAATTTTTCATAAGACATTTTCTTACTTGTTATTTTCAAAATACTATTTCTTACTTGTCATTTTTTTACTACAAAATCTGAATCAACAACTCCTCTAGAATGGCTGGTAATACCACTTAAGGGCGAATAGACCATCTACGCAATTCCGCTATCCACTTCTACTAAGGCTGAGCTAATGGGAGCAAAAGGCTTGATAGCAATAACTAGAATGAAATATTATTTAATAGTGAAAATTCCATGTCTGACATACTTATCAGAATCGAAACAGACTACTTACCAGATCCACCTATACATTACCATAAAAAAAGATCATTAATAAAGCCTGAGATGTTAACAAAACATTATAAAGTTGATGATTCCCACTGAGAATTTGATTGTAGGGTCGTGCTAATTCCATCCGAATCAGTATTGAGAAGCATGTGCCCATCACTCCAGCAATGGCACCGAAGATGAAATATAGAGTCCTTATATCTTTTTGGTTGATGGAGAATAACCATCAGACCCGATTTATCATAAAATTGAGATGATTTTCTTGTAGTACCACTTCTTGCTCTAAAAATGAAGAAAGACATGTCTCCTCATTTTTTTTGTATCGTTAGCATTTGAACTTGAATACGGTGAAAATAGTTAGTCTTATGGCTCATGAAAACCTTGAAGATACCATAGTGGTTGATGATACAAGAGGGATTACTCGAGGACCACAAACTTCATCCATATATGACATAATCTACTCTTGTATTTTCTTGTGTAGCTTTTAATTATCCTGGGCACGTGTATTTCACATGATCATATGAATGCTTATTTTACGTATCTAACATAAAAGTTTGCTTGATTTTTGTAGGGCCCATAAGATTGGTTTGTCAAATTAGCCTCTATTTGGGCTCCATTTTAATATGATTTTGAGATAAATACATTTTGAAATAGTATTTTATTTATTTATTCAATAATATATTGATTAAAAGATAATGAAAAGTTTTGACTTTTCCATATAATATTATTTTATTAAAAATGTGTTATTGAACTCAGTTTAAATAAGCGTTTTCGTAATTTTAATTGCAAATAAGCCTTTTTGACTTATTAATAGGTGAAAATGACTATTTTCACTTTCGGGAGACTCATTCGCTATAAAATAAAAGTGTAGGAGGCTTAAAAAGAAAAAAAAGAAAACTAAATAAAAATAAAATAAAAAATAAAAAACTAAGTTATGACTAATTTGCTATACTATGCAAAAATAGAATGCCTTGCATGTAATTTTCCT